TTATAAAATAAATTTCATACTAGAGTGCTATTCAGCAATTTGAATATGTGAGGGTCTTAGGATGGGCTTTACTAAGTATCAGACTGTCGCAGAGAAATCTAAGTGAATCCATTAGGACATATAAAATAATATTCTGTCTTGAAGTTTAAAGAATTAAAGCACTCTCCCATAAAATAAACTGCTAAAATACAAAACTAAAATAAACTAAAGACTTTCCTCTAAGGTTTAAGCTTAAGGGAACTAGCACAAGTTAAATCTGGAGAACTGGGTTGGCTCTCTCTCCCGGTAACAATGTATAGATGAAGGCAACTTCTAAAAGCCATGTGCCTTTCATTGTTCCTGCTACACAGTACAGGGATTTTCTCAGCAAACCCTTCATGGAGACTAAATTAACACATGGACAGTATTTACATTAAAACTAATGAGAGCTCCTCCTTCTTGACCACAGATTATTTTTCCACTCATTTTAGGAGATAACTTAATTCACAATTAGTTTCCCTTTTTGCTCTATCTCAGATGCAGAGAGTCTCACCCAAAGGTATTTTTGAACTCTGATTTAGTAGCTACTGCACAAGTCAGAAGAGATGAACTTTTCTCTTTACTCATTCAGCTGTATGTTCCCAGTCCAGATAGATGTTTATTGAGAATCATGATGAGCAGTTGTGATACACAAAGAAGTCAATTTGTTCTCTGCCATTTTCAACCCAGTTGTATCACTACATTGCCTTGCTTTCTAGTGTCAGCCCCAGAATATACTTGATGGGCCAGCTAAACATTTTTAGCTGTTACCATGCTATACAACCTTATCTTGTCCATACTTCCTTTTTCTGTGTGAATGTGTATCAATAAATGTATTATCAATGATTCCCCCCAAATATCTGGGATAATCCACAGAACACAGAGACCAGCTACAGTAGAATTTGAAAAGTTAAAGAAAGGGATACCTGTGTCCTCTGCCAGGAAGATATACTAAATTTGTGGCAAGGCTCTGTCTAGAGGGGGAGTCCACATATTTCTCTTTGTTAAATCTACTCATGGGCCTATAAATAAGGTGATGAGGAGAAATACACCAAGTTCTTAATAATTCCATCTTACTCCAGATAAACCACTAATTCATTGCTTTGTAGATATGGCCAAAAGGTTTTATAATGTAAATATTCCCTGGGGAATATAAAGTCAAATATAAAGAAACTTGCTTTGTTTTAATTCATAATCTACTGGTAAGGATTTTGAGTATTTGGCCTATAAATTCTGTTACAAAAGGTTTTTTAAATGTCTTATATAACTTGAATTTTTCATCATCCGTAATTTCACCAATCCAATTTACATAATTGGTCCCTTCCACAGACAACATTTTAATCCCCTATATCACTGGAAGACCAAACAAGCAGAATTCAAGTATCAGAATCAATGTTGCTTGGTTTCCCATTGTCCTTTCAGAACATACCTAGAAAGAATCCCCAAACACCTAGAAGAAGACTTCTTCTGATTATTGATAATTTTTAAAGTCCTGTAATCAACTTGAGTCACGTATTTTAATACTTAGAACACATCATCTCACATTGTGATCAAAACTCTACCCTTGATTTAAAATTTCATTTTCTTGCCCTCCACCAACTCAGGTCTGTTATTGAAGAAAAAGTATACTCTGTTTTCTTTCTTTCCTCATGCACTAATGATACTTACCTATAAATTGAAGATAATAATGGTTCCTACTTCAATATTATGGTTATTATGAAGATTAATGTGATAGTACATTAAAAAAAAAAGCTTAGAAAAATTTCTAGCCCAAACTACTAACAATGGGAAACTATAAAGAAGTAGAAATCATCCATAATTCCATTGACCCAATTTATATAATTGGTCCCTAGAAGCTGGAGTAAATAACACTGGAGAGCTGTAAGTCTTTTTGGGTCAAAGGAAGGTGCATCAGAACAACAGGGATGGGCGGTATGGGCAAGTAAAGCATTTCTTGGGCAGGAGAAATAATTCATTCCCACTAGTCTAGCCCAGACCAGAGAACTACAGATTTGACTAGGCCTGAACTCAAGTAGCTTAACAAAAACATGTAATCACTTATACTCTTTTGTTTCACTAGGAAATATACCTAATATAAATTAGTTTTGCTTTTTGGATAGTTTTCAAATCAGTATGAATTTGTGTTACCTCTCTACACTGCATTCTTACTTCTCAAGAGTCACTATAAACATTAGTGTATTCTCTAGACCAGAAGGACTAGGCAGGCAGCTACTTTGTATTTTTTTGAAGAGCCAATTATAGACACTGTTTCTAGGTCTCTGGCAAATATTGTGTGTATGTATATATAACTGTATCTACTTATAGATATACAGAGACATAGATATTACATAAATATATAAACATACATATATTTTTCTGCTCCCAGCTCTGGAGGGACAGGTCAATCTCAACACAGACACTCCTTTTCTGCTCACTTATTAGATGGTGGGCAAACCCATTTCTTACTTTCAGGTTTCTGAGGTGAGTCAGGCAGCAGTCTATCCTGTCCCCCATACTGCAGAGGTCACACATCAAGCCCTCCACATGGTTCCATTGAAGCACCAGTCACTAGGCTTACAGTAGAACTTAAAATAAATATCTCTAGAGGTGCCTGGGTGTTTCAGTTGGTTAAGCATCTATCTTCATCTCTGGTCATGATCTCAGGGTCCTGGAATTGAGTGCTGGGCTAGGCTCCCTGCTCAATAAGGAGCCTTGTTTCTCCTCTCCCCGTACTCATGCTCTGTGTGTGTGTGTATGTGTGTGTGTCACTCTCTCAAATAAATAAGTATAATCTTAAAAAAATAAATTTCTCCAAAATTTATATTCATAAAATCTCCCTATCCCATCTTCTAAATCTTTTATATACCAGATGTAAGAGGTTCAACAACACTCTAACATGCTTTTAATTATTTCCTTTGAAATATTGGTGTTGGGTAGTTCATATTGAAATACACATTCTTGTATATATTAGAGCCTCAGTTAATTAAAGATGATTAGCTAGCTACTGTAACTACATTTACACATTAAAGACTCAGAATGTGAGGTGGGACTGCCTGGGTATATATCCAGATTGTTTCATTTGACTATCTGATCATCTTTGAGCCAGTCACTTATTTGTTTCCTGCCTTAGTTACTTCTGTACACTGAAGATAATAATTGTCCCTACCCAACATTATGATTATTGTGAAGATTAACATGACAATACATTAAAAAAATACACAGAAAAGTATTTATCCCAGATTACTAACATGCTATCTTTAGAAGTAACAATAATACAATCATTACTATGATAATTACTACAAACGTCTACTTTATAACTTGTTCGACTTATAAAGATTTTCACATACTGTTCAGTATTCTTTTCTTTTTAAACGGTTTTATTTATTTATTTGACACAGAGAGAGAGAGAGAGAGAACACGCACAAGCATGGGGAACAGCAGACAGAGGGAGAAACAGGCTCCCCACTGAGCAGGTGGATTGATTTGGGGCTTAATCCCAGAAGCCAGGATCATGACTTGAGCCGAAGGCAGATGCTTAACCTATTGAACCACCCAGGTTCCCGTCAATATTCTTCTTTACATTGTAAATGTATAGTATTCAGCCATACAAATGGCATCATTTTCAATATTAAACTGGACACACAAATCATCTCTAAAATTTGTCACATCATTGATTATCTTTATGTTTATCATCTCTATTTTTCCCTCTGTATAGCATACTAGTTGAACTGGAATTAATGGATCAAAATGTGATTAAGTGATTTAATATACACTGACAAATTACACTACTAAAAATGAATATCCCATTGATATACATATATCATATAACTCAAATATAAAGTATTTTTAAGACTACCTTAAAATTCTAGACAATTATCAACTATCAGACATTGATTTAAGTATAATGGCATCCGCGGAAGGTAATGAATAACAGACACAGGATGTTCTCTTATCTCCTTACAGCGTGTGCAAACAGATTTCTAGAAAATTTTTGAACTGGGAAGCAAAGATTTTTAAGTGTTGGAGGAGAAATCCAATACACATTAAGAACCAGAGAGTTCCAGTAACAGAACTACGCTGACCATTCTTTTTTTTCTTTTTTTTTTAAGATTTATTTATTTATTTTAGAGAGAGAGTGTGTGTCCATGCAAGAGAGAGCAGGGAGAGAGGAAAGAGGATGAGGGAGGCTTAAGCAGATTCCATGCTGAGCTGGGAGCTCCATGCAGGGCTCAAGCTCACAACCCTGAGATCAGGACCTGAGCGGAAACCAAGATTCAGATGCTTCACTGACTGCACCATCCACATGCCCCTGACGATTCTTTTTTAATAGAAAAAGAAAATGAAGTAAGAATGAGCAGTAGTAGCTATCTTTCGTGGTGGTTCATTATGAGATACTTAGAGTGAGCTGCTTTAATTATGTAAATGCATCTAGTGGATGAGTGTTAATAAACTTCTATTTAAATAAAATAAATCAAACTTCTGTTTCTCCTTAGCATATTATATTTTAATTAAATTCTTGAGTACAGTCAGTAACTGTGAAGTTATACAGTTGACAAAATCAATCACTAAGGAGTGTAAATCTGCTAGATACTAGTCTAACACAAAGCACACAGTAATTAGTCAGTTTTGATAATAGAAGTTTCACATATGTCATAAGAGGAAATTTTGGTTCTCATTTCTAGCATTCTACATTGGTATTATTATAAAGAGTACAGACAATTTTATCAAGGTCCCACAAACTCCAATACCTGGCTTAAATTATCTTCTGTCTTAAGTAATAAGAACATTAATTTTTCTCTTAAAGATTTTAACTTAAAATGTTCTATTTTGGTGAAGTCATTTTCTGTGACATTTTGACTTTTTGTGCTTCTCTTTCTCCCTCCTTCTAGGTCTCTCTTTCTCTCCACTTACAGAGGCATGTAACTCAAAAAGAAAAAAAAAAAAAAATCACCCCACCACCAACGAACAGCCATCGAACCAACCTTATAAAGTAATGGCAATTTTCCTAATTTCAGGAGTGCAATCTGATTCGTTGTATTTTTCATTTTTTGAATCCTTTTTAAATTATCTGCATTTCCATAACTCACATCAATGACTTCAGCCTGAAAGAGAAGAGAAAAATAAAGTCTTACAGGAATAAGTAGAGCAAACTGTCCATTTAGTATGACAAAATCATTCACAATAATTTGATATATTCAAAAAAGAACTATTTCTACTCTTATCCTGACCCAGGCACCACAGACATGATATTTCTATTTCTAACAGGATACAACAATTCCTCTGGTCATTTAAAAAAATAGTTTAGAGTCACAAACTGAGGGATGCTAGAGGGATGGTAGGTGGGGGATGGGGTAATTGGGTAATGGGCATTAAAGAGGGCAGTTGATGTAATGAGCACTGGGTGTTACGCGCAACTGGTGAATCATTAAATTCTACCCCTAAAACTAATAAAACATTAAATGTTAACTAAATTGAATTTAAATAAAAAATTTTTTAAAAAAGCTTTGGATTCATTTTTCCTTTGCCCTGTCCCTTCTAAACAAGTTACAAGCCCAATTCATTCCTTTAACGGATGATCAAGTTTGGTTTATTATATATTTATGTTTCTGGAATTTAAACCATTTTACAAAACACAAGATTAATTTCCTTAAAGTTCAACAATAATCATACCATTACAAACAATTCAAAGGCTCTTGATTTTTACTCAAATTAAGTAAATTCCATCATACACAGCTGTTCAGGTGGTGCATATACTCAGTGTGGATGACAAATCCTTGGGTTATACAGGATACAACCTGTATGGCCAACTATATGCACCAATCTGGCGTAAAATCTTCAAGGATTTTAACATGAGATCAGACTATGATTTGTCAAATATTCCCTACCCTTCCTACAGTTATCTTTTATTCTACATCAAATATTTCTTATCTTTAGAAGTCCCCTTTTTATTAATGTGAAAATTGTATGCCTTTCTGGAGATTCTAATGAGAATCCTCTGATGTGCTCCTTTCCTTCTCCTTGAAAAGCTCTACACTGAAGGTTCTATCAAACACATCTTCCTATGATCCAAGATGATTTCTTTTAAGTTTAGTTTCCATAATTTCTATCATTAAGATAGTAATCATTGGGGTGCTTGAGTGGCTTAGTCAGTTAGTTGTCTAACTCTTGTTTTCAGCTCTGGTCATAATCTCAGGTTCATGAGACTGAGACCCATGATTCACTCCCTGATCAGCAGGAAGTCTGCTTGAAGATTCTCTCCCTCTGTCTCTACCCGCCCCCTCCCCAACAAAACAAATAAGTCTTAAACAAACAAACAAACAAACAAAAAAACAGTAGTTGTTATGCTTTCCAATGATAACATTGAGACATTAAGGAGTAAGTGGAGGCAAATATAGAAAGAACACAGATGGAGAATCTATAACTCTAACTTCCCACCTTTCTCAACTGGAGCTAATTTCTTCTACTAGTTTCATGCAAAGGATTTCCATAGAAGACACATATGAAGAGAGAATACTGTTTTTAGAAGCACATGTGAATACCAAGATACCAGCAAATCTGTTAGAGAAAGCATTTCTGGCATGAAATACCTCCTTAACCATTTCATTCAACTGCATCTGGCAAAACTTTATTGATACAAAACTTTACTGATACCTTTTCAAATGTTACCTTCTGATGAACTGTATTTCCCTGGTGCCCAAGTATATGTGACTTTCTCTACTTTGAATCCCATAGTGATTTGTTTCTGACTCTCTTGAGGATCTCAATGGACTCATCTCTTTATATACATATAAAATTTTTCCTCAATGAAGTCCATCATGCAGCTTTTTCACCCTTCACCCAGATATGCAGCATATATTGTTGGCTTATTGGTCTTAAATTGAAATGATTATAGTTTATATGGTATCTCTGAAATGTTGAGCTATACTTTCAAATGGATTACCTAAGAAAACCTTCTTGTTAAAAACACTTCTGTCTGAATGGTTTTGGATAATAATTTTGTTCCTATTAAAATGTGATTAGCAAGGCTTATTAATATAATTTTTGAGTTTGCTAATACCATTACAATATAAATAACTATGGGTTTATGATTTTAAAAGCCTAGTTAAATAAATTATTACATAATATTAATAATCTTCACACTGAAAAAAATGAGAAAATTCATATTATTCAATTAAATTTTTAAGCCACCTACTAATTATGTGTGATTCACTGATATCATCTTAAAACAAGAATATTACTCAATTGGTTATATTAATGAACATATTTTTCATACTTAGGAGAGGATGGGGGAAGATCATGCTGGTTTGAAACAGTGTGGGCTAGACTTCCACTTTTTGTTTATATATAAACCAAAAGGTGTGAGAGTTACAAAAATACTAGTTTACATTATTGGAAAATAGCGATAACTTGCCTCAATAATGGCAATTTTAATTAAAGAGCTCTTCAATGATCTTTAAATAGCACATCGATAGATTCAAGCATTTTAACACATAAGAAGAGGGTTTTTTTTTCATTTTTCACAAAAACAGTCCTCAATACAGCATCATTATACAAATTTATTTTGGCTTCTGCATTAAAAATCAATAATTACAAAAATCAGTGTTCTCATGGTTTGACAGGTGCTAATAAAAATGTATTTTTTGCCTTCAAAAGATGTCTTTGAATCAGGTCTTTCCTGAAAGTCTTTCCTATTTACCTTTAAGCAAACTGAAAAATCACAGCTGCAAGAAAGCACATTGAATTTTTCTAAGACACAAATCAATATACAATGATATGATAAAATGTCAAGCCATTTCTTTCCACATATTCTTGTTTCTACAATGGACCTTTCTTATTGTATGTATTCTGTCACACTAGAAAATCATCCAGTCAAACAGCTGAGGTATAATGTTTAATTTATGTCCAAATACCAAGGGGTAAGTTACATTAACTTATCCCTTGGAAAGCATCAAATGAGCAGGAACTACGTACTTGTTGAACTATTCACTTGTATGCACCAGCTTTTCCACTGAGGACTTCCCTGACACATAGGAGGAGGTAAGTGAGAAATGCAAAGTAAAATGGACTAGCTCTGTTTTTTTTTTTTTTTAATTATTATTATTATTGTTACTTAACCTGGGGGGAAATATTAATTTTTATTTAAATTCTATGCATTAATTTTTTATTAAGAACAAAAAATATAAAACAATAGCAACAACTGTAACAAAAAACAAATATTTTATACTTCATTAAAGATTTTAAAGTACTGAAATGACAGTAGAGAGTGGTAGCAGCTAAGAGAGAAAGTGGCACAGTTTAGAAATAACCACTATATATTAAAATACAATTATCTTTTGTGGCAAAATATGTGATTAGGAGGAATCATAAACCAGATGATTAGCAATAACGAAAACTCAAAACATTAAAAAGTGATATTCTATTATATCAGTGGTTTTATGCTTCTACACAGAAATGGTGAGACTATCCTGAGCAGAAACAACAGAAAGGAATAACTAAGAGAAATGAATAGAATTGTTATTTTCTGTGGTCAGCTAAATAAAAAAAAATAGAACAATCATGGCAATAACTAGGTCAGAGAAGACTAAACAGGGCCATCCATCCATGGGTAGCCTGTGCTACACAGTGATGAACAATCCAGTGCCAAGTTTCTCTTCTGTCTTGAGGTAGCAAAAATTATTCATGCTTATGAAATGGTGTATGCTTTCAAATTTTTCAGATTGACGTTTTCAACCAAATCAATCACTCTGGATCCTCTTAGCTCTTCTCTAATAGATTCTGAATGTACAGAATGTTTGAAAAGCATTGCTGCTTTGACTAAAACAGTAATTTTCTACTCAGAGTCAGAAATGGTAAACCCAAGCATACTGACAAAATACAGTGTCATCAGAAATACTAGTCACCTAAATACAAGTTTTACTACAGAAATTTACTATCTTATGTAATCTAGCTTTGAATCCTCTTCAAATTAATGTTCACGTCTATTAAAAACTTGTAAAATCAAAATGTCCTCCCATGTTTACCTGTCTTTTCTAGAAGGCATTAATATATTAATATTTATGAAGATTTCAAAATTCAGAGACTGCTAGAATTGTATTAGTACTTTTTTTTTCAAGTTCGTTCGATGGCTTTCCATCACATGGATATTATCGTGAAAACCACACCATACCAGAGCATGAAAATCAATGCTGCTTCCTCCCACTCCTGTGGCAGACATCACTAATCATTTACCGCTTTTTCAAACTCCTCAGGATGGTAATCTAGTTAATGAAGACAAACTGGGGTTGGCATAAGAGGGAGCTATATACAACATTTAATATCTTAATGTTAAATAATTATTAATATTTAAAAACTATAAATTATTTAAACAATATTTAACTATTTAAAATCTTTAAGAACTGGAACACAAGTGCTAATCAGTTAAAATGCACTCCTAACCAAACAGAAGAGATACCAGCTAGTGTGCTGAAATAGTCCATCCTAACTGAATCCAGCATTAAGCAGGAGACACAAATCCATTTTGCTGTTGTTGGTGAAAAAGATCAGATAAAGTGGTGGCTTGTCAATTTCATCACTTTTTTTTTTTTTACTGTAATATATACACTTGCTGGAAAAAGTATTTGCTACAATGATATAATAAATGCAAGGCTTGCTGACATGATGACCACAACATTATGTGTCAAGTTATATTTTCATTTCTGAAGTTATGGAAGAAAATGAGTTACAAAAGGTGCCTTCATGCTCTGGTGACTTTCTCCTGTTAGGTCAACAATAAAAAAGTAAACAAGGACACTAACAAGTCAGAAGATTTTCAGTTATGATATGCCCTAACAACAACAAGGAAGGGGTAATACAGTAGAGGGTGATAAGGAATTATTTTAATAAGGTTGTCAGGTTAGGCATTGCTATGGAGATCATATCCAATCAATGAGAAGCCATGCACTCATCTGGGGAAAGAACTTTTTTGGCAGAAGTTAAGAACAAATGAGTGACGAGCTCGATCAAATGAAACAAAGACATTGATTATGTTAAGGAGTAAAACATTGAAACGTTGAAATAGGGAGTTACTGATTTTCTGCTTATGGGGTAGAGATTAGATAGGGAT